TCCCTATCTTTTATAAGAATAAAGTACATTTCGTGGATACACTTTCACGAAGAACCTATTTCTGGGATACCGCAGTCCCATGTGGATCAGAAAACAGCCACAATGTAGTACAACTAAACCCTGATGAAAATAAATATTATCTTCTCACTCCATATCCCACATTAATGCAATCACTCAAAAAATTTTCACCAGAAAGCATTCGCGCTATCGCTCGAAACCCAAATATAGACTTACAATCAATAGGAATCTATTCAAAATCAGATATTCAACATCACATTAGAACACAACAATTCCAAGAATTATTAACACAAATGGACACTATACAAAGACAATCAATAGACCAAAATTTACGCAAACTTGCAGAAACCGCAGGATTTGCCGATATCTACACGCAAGACTATAGCGGATATTTTAAAGACATTAAAGATTATATATATCTAAACGGTGAAAAATACCGTCCCCAAGATATATCACCAATTAACATTTTTAGCTTTGTTACACTCAAAAATGAGATCCTCGATTTTCTAGGATGGCCCTACTACATCTTAAAAAAATTGACTATTTTATACGCAATGTTTAACTTTATTGGATTTCTTTTCTCACTTTTAAAAGGAATCTACAACACATGTGCTATACACACACAAGTAAACAGACAAGCAAGCGTAGCACGCATACTCTTTGCAGGATTTTTTGGAATCTTTTCTACATCTATAAACAAAATTCTTTTAGACGCACAAATAAAAGAATATAACACAAAAATAGCAACACGACAAAATACATACGACGAAGAACATAACAATGTAGACATAACGCCAACGGCACCACAATTACCACCCCTACCAAATAACCATCCACTATCCCTAGTCCCACGAAATTTTCGAAATTTAGCCATCACACATAATCCAAATTTTCGACTCACCACATTACAAAGTCCCATCCAACATATAATGACACACCAGTCACAAGATGATAATACTTATGAACAAATTATTGAACAACCCCATACCACCGCTTTTCAGTCTCAAAATAATCATTTTTTTAGCCCACGATGAGCCGCCAACTTGGATCACTACACCGATCAAATTCCCACCCAACCAATCTTACCTCTCCAATCCCAATAATACCACTTTTTGCTTTTCCGCCACCCGATTTTCCATCTAGTAATGTAACATCAGGCATGAATTCCGACACTAATACACACATCTCAGTTTTATATTCCATCTCACAACTCAATAACCCGAATATTGAAACCCCCGATGAATTTGCCGACTCAGAACCATCCCCATCCAATAATTTTCATAACTCTTCTAATTTTTCTCAACCCCCTTTTCAACCCATATTATCCAATAACCCTGACCCAATCACTTCCACACCCTCTTATGCTTCCCAAGTTACCCCAACCTACTCCTCATTTCATTCTGACCAATCATCTCATTCTCCAGACACCCACCGAATCTCCCCAGAGCTAGATAATTTTATTACCCTTCAACAACAACCCTACCACCTCCATACCCCAACAATAAACCAAATCTCCTCCACAATAAATTCATCCAACCCCCCTACCCCTACACCCTCTTCAAATTATACTGAATCATTAGCACCATCATCCACATCAACTGAATCTTCACTCAACACTAATAAAGCTTACCGCACTTTTAAAAGAAAGTTCCCCAACCATCCTTTCCCAGCAAAACCAGGAACAGCCCGTGAATACATCAACCACCCCAAGCATACTAACACAAAAGAATTTTTAGCCATCACCTTACCCTCATTCCCACAATACACCTTAAACACCCCCCACGACACTAACGAAACACGCAACTTTGTAGATGAATACGTTTTAATGCCCACTCTCTCTTGGACCTCATATTATCATTTTACTAACCCTCTTTGCTTACCCTCATCTAACACTCACATCGATATAGAGCGAAATACGGACATGCTATATCGACTCACTACACCACTAACCGCTAGACAATTTACTTACGTTGGATATAAAAAATCACTAAAAACACACACTGCACCTAGAGCTAACGAATATACACTAGAATACTATGATCACAACATCATCAGAGCTAACCAAGATCAATTCTTAGACGACGATCGCTTCGCTAATCCACAAATTACCGAAAAAATTTTCATCAAGACACCATATATATTTACACTAAACATCTTCGACCGAAAGTTTGATCACATTATTTCAGAAGCACTAACAGACACACAAGCATACGAAAGTTTTAAAGAACGCTTCCAAATATTTTCACTAACCTTTCATTTCCTTGCACCACACGAAAGAGATTTACACTGCTCACACGATATTATGTTGCGCACTAAACAAACCCACACATATAGTTATTATCGCTTCATCCAAAATCACTTTGACCTACACACACCCTCTAGACAACCACACCATCGTTTTCAATTCATTAATTCCAAATACACTTCACGATTTTTCCTAAATTTCACATATTGCATTAAAGATACTAACCTTCATGGTATTCTTCGTAATTATGATCCCATAACCCAAATGTACATCTTCTGTCCCATCACCAAGACCTTCAACGCCGAAGAATCCCGACCCTTCCTTATCCCGCACGAGTTTGTACAACCTATAGAAATCCCAATTTTAGAATTCATCCACAACACTAAATTCAATCACAAATTATATAATCTAATCCAAAACACACCTTATGAGTTTGCAGTTGGCACTGAAGAACTAACCACTATTAAGGCACTTCAATTGCTTTGGCCACTGCTTCAGACTAAAAATATCATCCGCATCTTAGCTAAACTACTAACAACTTCCGATCTCATCCACGACATCTTCCCCCACGGTTTTTTCTCCGACGATTAACAGGTAAGTATGAATTAAATGAATATTACTAACTAATTAAAATATTAAAAAACTCACCATACTTTATCCATGTTTTCTTTAGATTTTTAGCCTTCATCCGACAATCACCTACAAAAACCACAAAAGACAAATAAAAATCGCAAATTTCATCAAACAGATTTCAAAAATTCTATTAATCTCTTACACTTATAAATTTATAAATTTAATACCAATGCAGTAAATTCATTTCTAAAATTTTCCCCACAAGCAGTAAATCTAATTATGATGAAAATTTGTAACTTAAAATTCCCCCATAACTAGCAGTAAATTTCCAAATTCTATGCAGTAAATTAATAAAATGCAAATGCAGTACTAACCTTTTGATATTTTCATTCATTCGCACAGAAATTCTATCCACACTCGCACAGCTCGCCCACGAAGAATTGTTTAAAATAATGAATTTCAGTTTCAAGTTTTCACACTCAACAACTCTAACATATAATAACATGTTTCAAACTTTCCTTTAACCCGGTTGGAAAGGAATCATATACTAAACAAAACTAACCAACGCAGCTTACTAAATACCACAAATCATAGAATAACAGCATGACTAAGAAAAGGAAACCAACGGTACCCAAACCGGATTAACCCAGTTTAAAACTGGATAATTTATTCTTTTGAAGACTATTATAAAGTCTAAGAAAGAAATAATAAAACACAAAAAAGTCGAAAGACAAACCCATACCACGAACAATTTGATTTTTGAAAAAAGGACACAACCAACAAGACATAAGAAAAACCACAACAAACCCAACATAAAACGTTGTCACATAACAGGACCCCTCACAAAAACCGCATGAAATCATACTCCCACTCCTGGCCTAACCCACCAGGAAGGACGTCCTGAGCATGCTCTATAGCCGGCCTAACCCACCGCGCTACATCCACGCTTTGTGACCACACCTCTATTTTTAATAAGAGCTACTCAAGTGTGAGTAACTCTTCAAAATAACCGAACTAAAACAAAAAGCTTTTGTGAAAACAACTAACTAAAATCATAATTAAAAAATATTAAACTAATAAATGTTTTATAAAATGTAAATTACATTATGCAATACATAGATCAGAATACAACACCAAGGACGAACATCTAAAGACAAAACGACCCCACTACACTCGAGAGAGAATGGCCAACCACAATTGATATGCCACTCACAATCACAACTCAAAGGATTTAGAGTACGACTTGACTTCGCAGAAAAGGACTTCATTGAACTAGACCAATGACCACCTCGATGTTCAAGTATACGTACAGATCCGAGTAACCAGGCATCCCCTCCACGCACAATCTCCACGCCATTCCCAAACTAGATCAGACACAAAAGAAGTTCTCCACGCAGAACAGAAAAACCTGACATAGCCAACCATTCTGAAATCAGATTTGAGTTTGTTGCGAAGACTTAGTCGTTGTCACTAGAAGACACAACGTCTTATGTCTCTAACTCCAGCTTCCTGGAACTTCTTTAACAAAGAAGAAACGGAAGAAAATTATGATGTTCGCCAAAAACCAACGTCCATCATCCATCCTTCGAATTGCAGAAGAACTATTCTAAAAAACTCTGTAAAACCCGGATGGGTGGAACCTGATCTAAACTACATTTTATGATTGGATAAATTAGATATTTTACCAATGTAAAGTATTTAATATTAACCAATCATGATCCATCTAACTAACAACCCACTTATTTGTAAGTGCTGAAGTTACTTGTAATTTCAGCACCAGAGAGATTTGAATTTAACTTAGAAATTAGTTGGACTCTCCCGAGCACTTCAGCAGCCGCAATAAACCAGTATACCCTAGATCTATTGAGCCTAGCAGAGACTAGTTAAACAACCTGAGACTAGATAGTATAAGAGTAAGATTAGGATCGGTATTAGACTAAGAAGTTGCACGAATCTATCCGGCCGAAAATAAGATAGCGTGACGAGCAGACGGTGTACCCTATCCGAAATTACTCTATGAGTTATACACCCAAGTCATAACTCAGTGGTTCGCCGTGTTGAGCTCTACAGCTCGTAAGTTGGTCCTTTCTCTCGTGGATAAATGGCCTTAAACAAGCGGAAACTGTGCAAGATGGTATGCCTATCTTTTTTGTCTGTTTTGCAGGTACTTGAGAGAGAGGAGATGGGTATGACCACGTCAGAGCCGAGAATAAGCGTGGAGGAGGTGTACAGTTTGGTGAAGAACAAAATTCTCATCGAATCTATCCAGGTACATGCTTACGTAGCAGTGAGTAGACTGTCTCTTAAGCATAAAAATCTCCCACCGAAGTTTTTTTGGTTACTAATCAATTATCTGGCAATCTTAAGTTCGAAACAAAATTCAAACCTCTAGCAATAATCAACTATCTGGCAATTCTATATTCGAAGACAAAAATATTAGATAAATGGTAACAAAAACTAAAATATTTTTGTTTTGTGTCAATTATATGGAATTATGACGTGTTTTTTCTCTTTATAATAACAGAAAAACACAATTTTCTCTCCATACAATTGCAAGAAAATCTATTTTTTTTCCTCCATAAAGACCCACCCCAACATAAGTTTATTTTAAGTACCATATAATGACAATAAAACACTTTCCCCCATATATTTGCAAAAAAAAGACATGACTCTGAGTGAGCAAGAGCTTCTACGCTGGAACAAATATATACGACTCATTGGTTTTTTCACCAAATTTTTCATTAAAATTTTATCGATTTTTTTCTACATACTAAGTCTTTATTTTTTCTTTTTTTTCTTTATTTTAGCGGATTGAGAATTCATGGTACATTCAAACTTCTATTTTTTGCCTTAAATTATTTTGAAACTAAAAATTATCAAGAGTTTCTAAAAACTTCAAGGAAAATTTGAATTTATGGTGATAACATGATCGCAGTGCTCTTGTTTTGTGACTTGTTTATGCTGTAATTTTTTTCTTCAAATTGTATTGGAACTAAATACCATCAAAAAATTATTATAACATTTAGCACAAAATGAGTTTTTTTTGGTGACTCTCAGTTAATTCATAACAGTAATCATCCAAATTGGCTGTTCTTGTTTGTAGTTTTGAGTTTCAAAACACAAACGATTGCGTACAGTATAGTATGCCTTGGTTTTATTTAGACTGTCGGGATTCTATGGAGACAAAATTTGATTTTATTGGTTTTCTTGAGTTTTTGTGCCGAAACATATGGAAATAAAAATGATTTTTCGTGCTATTATAATTTAAAAAAGTTGCTCCAATTGGTTACACATGATCAATTATGTGGGGCAAGATTGAACAAAATCAATTTGAACTTATTGTTTTTCTCATTTAGTTTTGAGTAAAGATTTCAAAATAACGCTTGATATACTTTTCAGCCAATCATTATCTGAGTATTTTTAAGTTATTCTGCATACCAATCAATTTGCTTACTGGTTATTGGTTATTTACCTACTGGCCGCAACTTAAGGTTCATTTTGGACTCCAAACTGATTTTGTTGCAAAAAAGTTTTCTTCAGTTTTCTTTCAAACACCCATTCTTGAATGACGCGGTCTACTACCTAAGCATTCTATAAGCGGTAAAAAATTTCTTCATGTTTTAACTGTATTAAAAAAAGTTCCGAGTTTGTAAGAAAAGGACTGAATATTCATGCTCGGGTGCTTTCTTTTGTCCGCACAAATTTTGAGGTTTCAACAAGCAGTTTTTGACCGGTTTTTTTTCTAAATATATTTCAAAAAGTATTGTTAACTTGAGCTCAAAATTATGAAGTTTTTCAATTGTAATTTTTTGTGAAAAATTAAGGGTTCAATGATTGCCGGTTTAGCCAATTCGGAATAATCAACGCAAAAATTTCATGCTATTAAAACGTAAGCGGAGATTTTATTCGCCTCAGAGCTCATTCCAAAATAAATTGGGGCATGCTTATTTGTCTAATTATTACTTTGCTTGATGCGAAAGAGAGAAAGAATGTTTAAAGTGGAGAGTATTCCGTATATTTTATTGTTCCGACTTTCGATACGAAAGTAACGGAATAATTGTGCTCGGGTGGAATTTTTTTTTCTTCAGACAAATTTCGATTTTTTAACTAGCCATTTTTGACGGAAATTTTTTTTATCATTCGAAAAGTATTGTTGTCTTGAGCTCAAATTTGAAAAGATATTTCAACTGTGATCATTTTTCTTAAAGTTACGGGGGTTTAAAGATTGCCGTTTTGACCAATTGGGATAATTAACGCGCGATATATTTCGCGCTATTAACGCGTAAGCGGAGAGTTAATCCGTCTAAGAAATCGTTCCAAATTGGTTGAAAGAAGCTTACTTGCCATAGTTGTTTTGTTACAAGGAGCGAAATCTATCCTTTTGTACTTTAAATGTTGTGTGGGGATGATTTCCATACAAAAAATTTCAAATTATAGAAAAAAAAATTTTCATTTTTTTTTATTTCATTTAATTTTTGAATGTTATTACTGCTCCAGAAACCTTAAAAGGCAGTCGGAACATTCAGGGCTTCGCTCTGATACGAGCAGTATTGTTGAAATTTACTCTCTAGCAGCTGAAATATTTTCACTTATTTGGAGGAAAAAAATGATTCTATGGGTTCCAAACTATGAAACAAATTCCGTAGTGGAGACTGTAGAAAAATCAAATAGATAATGTTATTACGTAAATAATTACCAATGTCAATGTCATTGCTGTAGTTTGCGTAACAATCGCGTACCGTCATCGGCGATGGTGTTTTGTATTAATTCAAATTGATTCTTTTAAGTTTTACCAATACGCTAATGTGGCCACGAGATTACTTTCACGACCTCACTTTTTTGTGAGGTTTCGTTGGGTTTCACAATTTCTGATCTGGATATTTTATGATACCTACGACTCAATCATTTCGTTGTATTGAAGCTTACGCCATATGAGCAGTGTTGTTCGTATGTTAATTGAGAGTACTCAAAACATGAAGGAAAATCAATTTGGAGTTTCAATTTTGATTTCACAAAGACTTCACTTCAAAAAATTTAATTTTCAATAGTATATGAGCATTAAAAGAAAAAAGCTTTGAACGCTCATAAAAAACTGATTGATTCAATTTTTTTTTAAAGTGGATTATGAGTGTAGTAGTTACATATCCAGTCATGTAAGTCCAGTAGTTGTATATCCAGGCTCTCTTACTCAGGGCCGATTCAAGGATTTCCTCAATGGGAGTGTTGGATTTTCAATAAAAGAATTTTAAAAAATGGTAATTTTCTCAAAAGGTCGACCCAAACTATTTCCAAGCTCTCTCAAATCACTAAAAAGACCCCGCGGGAAAATTTTTGAGAAACATGCCAAAAAAAATGAGACAATTCTGAGAAAAAGAAAATTCATAAATTGATAATCTAAGCAACCAACAAACAAATAAAAAACCTAAGGGATCAGTCCCACTATCTTTGGACATGTAGAAACTTGAACGAAACACCGGTCGCGGCGCAAGTTGTGAAATTGTAGTTTATTTCTTGGTGTTGTAAAGTTTTGATTTTGACAAAAATTGAAAGTTATCTCATTTTAAAGGCTAGTCGATACGGTTTTCAGTTTTAAAAGTGTTATGTTAATCGAGCTTTATGCTGGTCAAAACTATTAGCTTACAAGATTCGGTTCTTTTGCTGCCCTTTGATCAATGCTCTGATTGCTCGAATATCAGTTTCACCTTAAGCGTTGTTAAGTGCAATGGTCATAGATTTTTGAGGATCTGAACATAGTTCACATTCTATAAAGCAGTTCGGAAAACTTTTAAAAATTTTCTAATAGGTTTTTTCCACTTTTGTAGCTTGGGTATAACTGATGTTTGTTTTTCAGATTCCCATATCGCTGGTTACAATACTAATTAACTCTTACTGTCTGACAGTGCTTTTACTAGTGCGAGAAATTAGGCGATTGGATTACTTTCTAGTTGGGTTGCAAGTTTTGAGTGACTTACTTTTTAGTGGAGTTTTGTCTTTTTACTTTTTCGCAACTGAAATAGTCCGAGCTGCTCTCTATTTCTGCGACTATCTGAACAATGATGTTCCCAGGTATGATTCTTCTGTTTGTTTGAAAAAAAACTTTTTCCATAAAATTGGTGCATGGAATTACATGTTCGTTGTGGATGTCAAAGGGCTGATTGCGCAAAAAACGTCATGCAATTTTTCTTAAACTCAGCTTTATTGATATATCAGCCTTTCCAGCCGTGAATTATGATTGGCTTGAATAAGTTTCGGATATTCCGTTTTTCGGACTGAGCTATTTTGCCCTTTGCTTCAAAAATTGCAATTTAGATTCAATAAATTTTGAGGTAACGAGCAAATCATCCGCCTTAACATGCAGTTCATTCCAAAAAATACAAATCTGCTGTTGATTTAAGCCGCAAAAAAATTGATTTTTTCAAAAACCTTAGACCAAAAACTATTGCCACAAACTTAGACTGATGCAGGTAATGATTTTATCTCAAATGCAGACCTGTTCGAGGACTGATTCAGACCTGGAACATAAAATGGTCAGGTCTGCTCAGATCTGAGTCAGACCTGAGTGGAACTGACCCAGATCTGATCCATGTATGTTCCAGGTCTGAATCTGCCCTTGAGTAGGTCTACAATTGTGACAAAAACCATGCCTGCCTCGAACTTGATTCAGAAATGTCTATGTCCCAACGAAACATGTACTATGTCTGGACAAGACCTGAAATAGGCAAAATTTTAAGATTCTCAGATCTGGTTTCCAGGTTTTTTATTTTGGATTGATTTTCCGACTCACTAAAATCCATCCGAATCTCACTTAAATCAATCCGAATCTCACTTAAATCCATTCGAATCTCTCTTCAATCTATCTAAGTCCATTTAAGTCCATTTAAAAGACCCCTGAGCAGATCAATTTATGTATCTAAAATTTCCATTTAAAATCCATTTAAAATAAGCCATTTTTTGCTAACACGGCAAATAAACAAGCTTCTTGAAAAAAAATTGAACAATAATTTCTTTCTCAATTAAAAAAAACATAATTAAATCGATGAAAGTATAGAAAATGATCATTGTAAATCAAATTTTGGGCATAAACCTATGTAACGAAACAAAAAAAATTGTCTAAAAAAATCAGACTTTGAGCTCAAAAATGTGCAATAAAGTCATAGAAAATTATCAATGTATATCAGATATTGGGCAAAAATCTATGTAACAAGTCAAAAAAATGGTCGATATATGAATATCAAATTTTGAGCTAAGCAATTTGCAACAATTTTACAGAAAATCATCATTGTAAATCATATTTTGGGCATAAATCAATGCAACAAAACGAGAAAGTTGTCAATATAAATCAATTTTTGAGCTCAAAAGTATGCAATGAAATCACAGAAATCTATTAAAGGTATATCAGGTATAAGCTTCTCACTTAAAAGGGTAAAAAAGCAGTAAAATGTTCTATGCGGCTTTCGGATGCTATAAAGCAGGAAACTGTAATCAATTTTGAGAGGGATAGAGCTTCACGTATATATGTACCTAGTTACACGTTCAAACGCTCCTTTCCGAACGATTGGGTCTTTGAAACATCGCGTGCTAATGGTTTTTACTACCATAGCCTTATTAGGCTTCATAAATAGAAGAGATGATTAAATTAAAAGTAGGTCGCATTGATGTTTATACTTTTACTTACAGACCGTGACAACTCGAAGCACAAAGGGGGACTCCTTTGGGCAGCCAGAGAATCGAATCCCTATAAACCTATGTAACGAAACAAAAAAAATTGTCTAAAAAATCAGACTTTGAGCTCAAAAATGTGCAATAAAGTCATAGAAAATTATCAATGTATATCAGATATTGGGCAAAAATCTATGTAACAAGTCAAAAAAATGGTCGATATATGAATATCAAATTTTGAGCTAAGCAATTTGCAACAATTTTACAGAAAATCATCATTGTAAATCATATTTTGGGCATAAATCAATGCAACAAAACGAGAAAGTTGTCAATATAAATCAATTTTTGAGCTCAAAAGTATGCAATGAAATCACAGAAATCTATTAAAGGTATATCAGGTATAAGCTTCTCACTTAAAAGGGTAAAAAAGCAGTAAAATGTTCTATGCGGCTTTCGGATGCTATAAAGCAGGAAACTGTAATCAATTTTGAGAGGGATAGAGCTTCACGTATATATGTACCTAGTTACACGTTCAAACGCTCCTTTCCGAACGATTGGGTCTTTGAAACATCGCGTGCTAATGGTTTTTACTACCATAGCCTTATTAGGCTTCATAAATAGAAGAGATGATTAAATTAAAAGTAGGTCGCATTGATGTTTATACTTTTACTTACAGACCGTGACAACTCGAAGCACAAAGGGGGACTCCTTTGGGCAGCCAGAGAATCGAATCCCTAAGAAAACGCCCACCCCCCCCCCCCCTCCCTCCTTAAATTCGATTCTGCATGCACACAAACCATACAGACATTATAAAAGAAAAAGATCTAATAAAAGCGCCGATTAATCATAAAATAAATTTAATATAGCAAGTCCTCATGCCAGGTAATAAACTTTCTATTGCTGATTTGAAACCGTTTGAAAAAAAAATGCATCAATTTTAATGTGAAAATGGATCTAAACGATTGCAAAACCCTGTCATTCTAGCCTCGTGACCGTCTAGTCCCCTACCCGTCTGTGCGAGTGTACTTTTATAAGCTGTCCACGCCGATATAACTAAAACTCGATAAAAAACGATGGGATATAATTTCAGGTGGCACAGATTATACACTTGCTAAACAAGGATTAGTTTCTAAAACATTTTTTTTTCAAATTCTACAGGCCTTGAGAAATCTATTTTTGCAATATTAGAGAGTTTTAGTTTGAGACACCTGACTTTTTTTTATCCCAGATTTGTTACAATGGTATCAGTCGAAAGCTCTACGTCTAAATTAATTTCTACACATGCTTATGAAAAACGGTGAAAATGCAAGATTTTTCACAAGTTTCAATGTTATTAGTTAATTTGGCTATTTTTACCAAAAACAAAGACACGTAACAAAACTTGGAACCTTCGAAAAAAACATTGCTAATTCATGGTACTTAAACAAAAAAAGTTAAGTAACAAGGAGTAAGTAGATAAAGTAGTTAAAACCGATAGATTAACACTAGGCATGCCTTTCTTTTTCTATAATATATTCTGTATCATCCAGGCCTGAAAATGCATGTCGCAGTTCAGGACAGATATGCAATCTCACAAAGAATGGATTAACACTGAGTTTCTGTATTTATCTTTTATTTCTTTACGGGTAGATTAAGTTGGGTAGAAAAGTTTATTTAAACTTTTCTCATTTGTGTCGCTTTTTTGCAAAAACAACTTTGGTAGTTACAATTTGTTTTAATAGAACTTTTTCGAACGCCAATCTACATAAAATTTGTAAAGAGAAAGGCACAATTTTAAAAAAATGTTTGAGGCTATCCGTTAAAATTTCAGAAAATTTTTGGATTAAAAAAGCACATTCAATACAAAAATTTTGAGGCTTGATGTTGCACTTCAAAATTAATGTGACAACTTATTATTTTAATTTGTGAATTCAACCCAACAAGGCCCGTCATTTTAAGTTTCAAACCTAAAATGATCTGCTAAAATATTTTTTATTGCTAAATTTGTGTCTGTTTTTCCCATTCAATTGAAAAGGGGACGTAATTATGACTTTTTGTGCAGTTTTAGCTATCTCAGAAAAAATATCCACATATTTCAGTGTATTTTATTACAATTTTTATAGTTGTGGATTGTTAATGAAAATCTAAATCAAAACGGAAAAAAATTGCAGTTTTTTATTACAGGAAAATTTTTAAAAAGTTGTTTAAAAAGGAGGAAGGACGTTTTTAACCAAGCGTGAGAAAACTTGTTATTACAAACTATTCAAAACTCGATTGATGAAAAGTGTGCACTAAGTATCAATTTAAGTGATCAAAATTGTTGCCCTGATTGATCCGACTGCCATTCAAATTATCTGCGGTACTTGTTTAATGAAATCCATATAATTTCCAAAATGTTTCTGTTGAAGCTAAATTTTTCTGCCTCAATCAAAATCAAGTACTTTGTGGTATCTTTCTCACTTAGTTGCAAATTTGATTTTGAAGGATTTGGACGTTTCGTTTTTTAAGGTCGAATGGCTGATTATGCTGCATACACCTAAGTTCTTTGAAAGTTATCAATTAGCCCGCAAAACTTTAGCAATTTTCAAGCCACAGACAGACAGTTTGACTAAAAATCACTTAGATTTAGTCTTTAGAAAAGTATCTGTCTGAGTCAGTCAGCTAAAACGTTGAAAATTGCCTGGAGAAAAATCACCTGGACTGTGAATTTTTTCGTCATTTTTTTCTGAAAATGGACACGTATCGGACATTTCTGAAAAAAATGACGAAAAAGTTCATAACCCAGGTGGTTTATTGTCCAGGCGATTTTCAACTTTTTAGCCAACTGACTTGAACAGATACTTTTCTACAGACAAAAAATTTGGACGACTAAAGTTTTTCAATTGAGCTCAAAATAAAATCAGTACTGGCATCAAAAGTTTTGAAGTTGGACAAATCTGTCATGTGAAATTAGGCTCAAGCTATTTGTAATTAGTTAACCTTGAGTTGAGGCTAGCTAATTAACCCAAATAATGAGTTAACAGGCTCAAAATGTCATTTTCTAATTGATATTGCATGAGAAGGGAATCAAAAAAAATCTTCTTTCTTTCTATATTATGACCACATCAATCAAAACTGGAAAAAAACAGGATTATTGAACGGCAGTTGGAACAATCTGGGCTTGGCCCAAATACGTTTAGTTGCTTTTTTGGCAGTTTTTCTCCATATTCGATGAAAATTTGAATTTATCAGTGATCATGCCATCAGTGAGAAGATGATGCAACTGAAGGCAACCTGCAAAGGCCGAAGATACAGGCTAGAAGAAGAGAGCTCATTTTACTAAACTTGGTATGATTTATGTCATTTTTTGCCTTACTTCTATAGAAAATTGTCACAAATTTTGTAATGAGTTACAAAAAAATGAATTATTAAACAAACTTTGTCTTGATCTATGCTCAAACTTAATAGGCGGTAATGGGGCCTATGAAATTAGACAACAAGCAAATTAGACGAATCAAAAGAAAAAAAATCTAAAATTATGGAGAGTTGGACGTAATTGTATTATTGTGTCTAAAAATTGTTTATTTAATACACTCAATTTCTGTTTGAGTTTTCGGCTTAAAGTTATTAATATTAAGAAAGCGAATCAATTTTTCACATTAAGCAGTTTTATAATTTACAATTATCAAAAATATGGTATAGTGTATAGATTATTGTTTTATAAATCATTTATAATAATAGTTTTTTGTAATGCAACGGGATTATTTTCTCTTCTTGAACTCGCAAAATTTTGTTTCAAGGAATAAGTTTTGTTAGTCCTTCGTTTTTTGTCCAAAAGACCAGTTTCACAAAAAAGTTAACGTCTGATTTCCGTTGTTTTGGAACCGTATAAGTTCCTCACACTCGGCTATCACCAAGAAATGAGTGTTGCGCATTTATAATTGAACAGACGCCTCTGATCCGCGGTACACAATTTCAATTTTGAAGTAGGCGGATTTGGTTAGTATTTGTATGTTAGTAAATATAATTTTGTTGGAAAAAAAACGAGTAGTTTTTTCCAGAACGCAATATACCTTTATTGATAGACTATTTAATCAATCGTTTTTCCTTATAGATCAAAAACAAATCACTAAAACTTCATGCTGGACTATATTGTTCAGTTTTTGATTCAATTTATCCAGTTATATCTAATATCATTGGAAAGATTAAACGCACTCTTCTCAATGTAATTTCGCAAAAGACAAAACGTGATCAAAACAAAAGTAACTTAATTTTTAGCAGAATTGTTACGATGTAAAAATTTTTAGGAAATCGAAGCCCAATTTTTACTCCAAATTGGGGTCATTTTTTGCTCCTTTAAGTTGAGTTTAGTATATGCCAAACAAAGATTTAGAAGATTGCTTTTATATGTTCGTTTCTTCTTATACCTAACGACACAGCAAAATGGTTCCTTGGGCACGAATTCAGCGGGGCAACGGAAATTCAGTACTATCCACAATCCCGAAATCATAAGTTGGCAAGCATTCTGCGCTGTACTATGATGCTTGCCGGATTTTCTTGCTGCTCCTGTGGCTGTATCGCTCGCACTAACGATCGCAAAATCTCCAATTGTAAAAAAGAATGCAATTTAAAAAATATATACATCAGATACTGAGGGCTCAGAAATGACCAGAATATGATCTAATAACCTAATCCAAAGGAAACGGTCTGCGATCAATTAACGCAATTGCTAACTTTGAATTTGCTTACACAATTGAATCTCCAGTTACCGCCAACTCGCTCTTGCTATATTCGATAGCTCAGCCAACTGTCTCTCACTGACATACCCAATCGGAATTTTCTGCTGACGACACAAGTTATGAATGCCAATTTCATTATAGTTACCTCCAACTAAGTTGGGCTAAAATTAACTTCAACTTCACCTCTAATCCAAGTTACGTTTATTTCAACAATTTCTCAAGTACTTTTGATGTATCGTGTTAGCGCTTTGGCCTCCTAGGGCTAGCGGAAGGTCCTATCCAAATATAGCTACCAGATTTCAAGCTTAGAAAATTCCAGTTTATAATCTATTGTGATTCTGACTTTTAACCTATCACTTTTAACTCTTCTATTAGATGTCTAATTGCGCCAAAAAAACACCTCTGGGAAGCTTAGCGAATAAACCGTTCAACCATACTTTTTATGAGACTTAGTTCCCATGCCACACTAACCTTATTGCCGATTTCTTCTTCGATTTTTTTTCGTTGGTTTAGTCCACGCACTATAATAGCTCAGCTACTGTAGCTAGGGTCAACCCCATGTTTGCCTAGTTTCACTCTAAATCAATCCACGAGTTCAACATAACTACTCCACAGCTGTATCCCTTAACATTCTGTCTTTTTCCGAAGGGACAAAATTGCCACCATAATAAATAAGGTCCTACTATAAAAAAGGTCCTATCTCGACCGGTGGGGCTTGGGCAGTTGGCCTTTTCCGTTGTTAATTCTTAGGTTTTCTGTTTCTGGCCATTTTTCGATACTTGGGGTAAGAATCCACCTATGATGGTTCTACCTATCAAGTTTCATCCATATCCCTTTAGTGCTTCTCAAGTCTGAGAAGTGCCTTAACATTTCTACAGGAAGCTGCTATTAACAACGGAAGGAGTCGCTAAGAGGTTTTATTCAACAGAATTTTTTTTTGGATTGGAGTCTAAAGATTTTTGCCGCCACACGCCTTCGCTCAACATTTTGCCCAATTTACAAAATTCTTTGAAAAGTGGTAAATTTGCGAAGTGCTAAAAAGTTCAGGTTCAACTGTCAGTTTTGGTTCAATTTTTAATAGATGATGTCCACTGCAACTGCCTTTCAATGTTTCGGCTCTTTGTGTTCAGTGAAGCCCAATAAACGACTTCCGGAAGTCCGTGTGACTATTTGCTCAGGGAAAATTTTAGGCTTCCCTATATTACTTCTATAACAAAATAAACTTTATTCCCGGTCAAACCACTGGCTGATTAATTCTAGTAGGGCTGTTTATACTTCCAGGAACCGTTATCACTCTGCCCCGGCGAGTCCGAGGTGTTAGGATTTTTGTATGCCCTGCTCGAATCATTTCTATTATCCGTTCTACGAGTTTTACAAATTTAACGTCTTTAGTTTCGATTTGTAGGGGATATCACACTTTTTTTCACTTGGGTTTCTGACCATAGGAAGGACTAATTCTTGAAGGATCCGAACTAATCCGAAATTTTTCATTTGCTTGCTTTTCTACTTTTCGTATTGATCAGCTACGTACCACTTTTTTTCTTTGCTGAAGTTCATGTTTTTCTTGAGGTAAAACTTCCTGGGATGAGTTTTTAGTTCGCCAAAAGTTTGTTAGGATCATCGATTTTTTGAATCATCACAACATTAACAAGATTCAAACGCTGCTGTGCTAAATAACAGCATTATGAGGCCAAAATTTGCTCTGGATAAACGCACAATTTTGTGTCGGATTGTTTTTGGATTTCATAGACATTTCTATAAACATGTTCCAATATGTAAGTCCTTGTAACGTGAATTTTATCGGCACATATGCTGTATCGCAGATTACACAACAAGCGAATATAGCTAGCTGTTCTGGATTCCGGAAATGTAAGTGGATTCCAAAAAATTTAAGTGGAATTTACAAAAGTAAACGGATTCCGAAAACTTTAAGTGCATTCCAGTTTTAGTTATTATTGAACTTGCATATGAACAATTAAAAACCAGAGCTGGATTTTTTTCAATAGCAAAACAGATTTTAAAAGCACGGACTTAACTTTTGTCCGCGGAATTCAAAAACAAATCTCAAAAAAATGGTTAACTCTATCGGTGGATGTCATATTTTAGTATTTTGGAAACACAAACCGAATAAATTAAATATCTGGTGTCATTGGGTTGAGAAACAAACGCACATCATATCGTCGAATTAGGTCAGTATTTAGGATTTCATCAATCCCAAATACTGATTTTTGAAACTTGGAAACTTAACACTGAATAAGTTGTGTTGTAAAAAAACAATGCACTGCATATCACCGAAATAAGTCTGTATTTCGGGTTGCATCATACCCCAATACTGGTCAGTATTTGGGCTTCTGACAATACTAAATACTGATCTAGCTTATTCCATGTCTGGTGAATTCATGAGAACAATAATTGACGTGACTCGAAAGTGAAATAAAATCCTGAGGGTTTTTTGTTTGAACACCTGCTGCTATATCTTTCTGAGCAGCTAACTCACAATTATTTAACAAATTTAAAGCTCTAAATGTCTTAGTCTGATGGGATCTGATTTTTTTAAAGGGACTACTCTATCACCCTTTTTGTGGATGGCTTGACAAGAATTGAGATCAAAGTTGGGTGTTGAGATCGACGTTTGGTATGTTTGACAGGAGTTGAGATCAAAATCGGGTTTACAGGATTTGAGATCAAAGTTGAAAGGTTTTGAAATCGAAGTTGTTGTGGTGTTTGGATTTGCGACCAAATTTTTGTTATTTCAACTGGCAGTTGATCAATGTAGTCATTGAGATTGATCTTTCTGGTTTTGGTGACCGCGTAGTAAATAGAAGATACAATTTCAAACGCTATACTAAATATTTACAAATATGTATACGGAATCTGCAAACAAAATGCGGATTACAATTACAATTTGCGGGTTCCTTTTACAAGTTGAGGACTCCACTTACAATTTGCGGAATGCACCTACAGTTGCAGATTCCGCAAAAGCTCAATTTACTTTTACAATCGTCCTATTATATGTTTGTGGATTCCACAAACCTTTCTGGATTTCAAAAAACGGTTGCGGAATCCGCAAATTTGCTTATTTTTGGAGCTATTTTTAGCGGTTCAGTGTTTTAGGTATTTGTTGAGTAATCCAAAACAGCAAAGAAGATCAAAGAAAAGTAGCAATATTGCCAATTCCGAGGCAAATCTGATTTTGGTCTTTTCCGGAATGCGCTCTCAATGCACAGAATGCACAGTTTAGCATCGTAATGAGAATCACTTTAAGGTAATTGGATCAACAAGATCTTGTGTTCTCGGCATGATTTTTGTTAGACCAAAGGGAACGAAATCGACCCATTTTTTAAAATAAATTTTTGGGCTTAAGCATCGTAAATAAAATGTAATATTTCTGTTGAAGTTTTTAGCAACTTTTGTTCTCATAAATTTTTCTGATGTCAATTCAATGAAATGCTTGAAAACAGGCTAGATTTTAATTTTCCAGCATTCTCTCAAGTGATGTTGCTGTAAAAAATCTCCTAATCTCTAACTTTGATTGTGTACCGATTTATCTTGGAAAGAAAATTATGGCTATCAAGTTAAAAATTCCAATTTT